TTCCTGGTGGTTGGGGAAATTTAGTGTGCTTTATCAAAGTAGGGGTGGTTGTATTAACTTTTTCTATTGGTATCACTAGAGGACGATGCAAGGCTGCTGCTTGGAATTCACCGTCATGGATTTGGCAATTGGGAAATGATAAGGCTAGACGAAACACTTGGTCTTACTAAGAAAATTGCTCCAGTAGAACTTCAACATCACGAAACTTTCTTACCTCGAGCTCCCCAGCTGAAAGAAAGAGCTTCCCAACTTCTGGAAATGGTAGGTTCAACTCATTCTTAATAGGTTTATACGTCCCATCCCTGCAATATGATACATGAACCTTTTATTCTTGCGTTCTACGAGTTGAACTGTTCTTTTAGTTGAATTGAGAGTTTATCACAACAGGGAGCTTTTTGTGATAATGTATGTGCTTGTGGTTTTTTCATGCAGCTTATGTGCTGGTTTGTTCTTAATTTATGGGATAATCAAGTATTCTCTTTCATGCCATTTAGTTAGTTAATATACTGTAGTCATTATTTATCAATTTTGGATTTGGTCATGCCATTCCATTGTATGTTCAATGGCTTTAAAAACCAGCATTCTCGAACGCTTACACTTGCTTGTTTAGGTTAATTCATGTGCCTAATTCGTGAAGTAGTATTTTGAAATCCGTTGTCCACTGCTGTGCTATGCCTTATTTTTTGTTGATGTAGTGTGGTACTTGTTGAGGTTTATCCAGAATGTTGTGCATATTTTCACCTAATTTACTTTTAAGGTAGTTTGTTATATTGCTTGTTTTTGCCTGTAATTATTTTTGAGAACTTGAGTTATGTCGGCCAACAATGTAATTCACGGCCTTTATACTTTGTTCTCAGGAAGTTGTTGCTGTTGGTGGGAAGAGTTCTAATGTTAAAGTTGGCCGTAAGAATGCAAAGAAACAGAAGGAAAATCTTCTAAACGTCCCATTATCGAGTGGAAAGGGCAAACATCGGAAACCTGGTTCTCCTAATCTAAATGGACAAATAAATAAATCGAGAGCCCCAAGATCCCAGAAGGTGGAACCATTGGTTAAAGAGGAAGGTGAAATGTCTGATAATGAAGAAGTCTATGAGCAATTCAAGGAAGTGAAATGGATGGAGTGGTGCCAAGATGTCATGTTAGATGAGGAAAAGACGTTGAAACGCCTTCAAAAACTGCAGTCTACCAGCGCAGATCTGCCAAAGGAGAAGGTTTGCTTAATCATCAGCTCTGCTGTCACCTCTATTGCATCATTTTTCTTAATATATTCTTGAATTATTGCTCTTAAATTGGCTCTTTCAGGTGCTCTCCAAAATTCGTAACTATTTGCAGCTTCTTGGTCGAAGGATTGACCAAATTGTTTCAGAATATGAGCATGGACCGTATAGGCAAGAAAGTATGTATTTTCATTTGTGTTGCCTTTTCTTTCTTACCTTATCTCCCCCCTCCCCCTATCTTCACTCTCTGGATGGCTGTACTCCATGCTTGGAAGAGAGTATAAAGATCACAAGTCTGTTAGCTTTTATTAGCGTGTTCGTATACTGGATTTCAAGGCAAAAGTGTTTAATGAAGGAATTGTTTCACAGGGATGACTACACGATTATGGAATTATGTATCAACCTTTTCAAATTTATCTGGTGGGAGACTTCAACAAATTTATTCCAAACTTAAACAGGAGCAACAGGTGGCAACAGGTGTGGGACCTTCCAACATCAATAATTCTGCTCCTGGGCATCAAACAGCTGCATTTATGCACAGGGATATTGACGTGGATAAATTTGAAGCTTGGAAACGAAGGAAACGAGCCGGAGCAGGAGCTGAAGTCGATGCCTCTCTTGTTCAGTATCCACATCAAAGACCTTCAAGTAATGGCACAAGAATACCTGACCCAAACTCGTCTGGGATTCTTGGACCACCACCGTCGGATAGTAGACATGCTGGAAATGGGAGGTCTTACAGGATGCAACAGGCTGGCTTTACTTCAAGACAAGGTTTTCCATCTGGTGTCAAGTAATGATCCACGACTAGCTAATTCTAGAAGGAAGCCAGTTCGTACTTATTCAGCGTTCTCCGAACTTTTTCGCCTGTGAAAATTTTTGTAAAATCCTTTTCCGGAGTTCAGTTAACATGATGCCACGTGGATACAGACCGCATTCAATTTAATGGGTCGATGAAGAGAAATTTTGAAGGCCCCTTGATGCCAGGAGGTGACATGAAGAGCACTGTATGTGGAAATGTTCTGCAAAACAATTCTTTTTACCTTTTTATTTTCATCACTAAAAATCTTTACAAGTATATAGTTAATCGTCAAAAAGAATGCTTACGCCCTGCAAGAAGACATTTTGTACGGATACTGCATTCGTAAAGTGTACATGGTACAATTTTGCTTATTGAATACCTAATCTTATCTATTCAATCGACATTACTGCTTATTTTACTTGGGGTCCTTTGTGACACTAGTAAATGTAAATGACATGTCCTCGCAGAATTAAATTTTGTTCATCTTGACATTGTATTACTCGGTCTCCCCGCTGTGGAAGGGATTGTTTTGAAATGATTAGAGCTAACTTGTTGCCCTTGTCGCGCAGGAAGATTATATGAAGCCTACGAGGTTGCAAGGTAAATGGACTAGATTTTATTTGGTATTATCCCCATCCTTATTTAGGCAAATAATGTACTCTCTTAATCATCCAAGTTTCTCATTTTGTATTTGTATTCTGGTTTGATGATTGGGCAGTCGAAACTCCAGGATCTTATCAAACCTCGCCCTTAGTTACTGCTGGATTGGAGCTGCTCCTCGATGAAGTTGTGGGAGAGAGCACTACTGTGCAAGTTTCTCATGTAATGTTTTAACTATTGCTCTCTACTGAGCAAGCAAGGGAGCACTTGCATATTTTAGAAATGGATACTTTTCTATGAATTTTTGTTGTCAAATGATGGGTTTTTGAATCTATAATTTGTTTATTTTCAACGTCGAAAGGCTTTCTATAATTGAATATTTGCCTGCGGTATCATTCAAGAACGGATTACAGGCCGGGCTAATACGTAAAAAACTGTTGGTAAAATATAGCCAAAAATTATTGCTGCAAAAAGGATTAATGTTGATATATCAAGTCGGATTATATTTCAATTGGAGATAGAAAAATGACACATGCCCTATTAACTTTATGCATAATGATATTAGAAACAACAAATTAGTCTTATTTCGACAAATTTGAATTCAGCTACGTGAATTATTTTTGTGGGTTCTTTCGATTTATTGTTAGTTTTATTGGAAGAACAAAAATTTGGTTCGGTCATTACTAGAAAATAGGTTCTTGAGATATTTTATATCGATCGATAATTTTAATTTTTCGTTTTACATTTTACATTTTTAAATTTATTGATATACTTGGAGTCGAGCCTCAACATATGAGAATCCCATCATCGCTTGAAAGTTCTAGCAAAATCTGACGAAAGAAGGATTATAATATTATTTGTGTGGCTTTGATTCATATAGATGATGGTGTGGTTCAAAACCCTTTATCACTTTATCTTGTATATGTTGTTTCTCAACCTCATTTTGTTAAAACTTTTTCTACGGTTATGTATTAAGCATGAGATATTTCCACTAAAATTTCATGTACAAGTCCTTTTATTTTCTTATAATTGCAAACATGTATGATCTTGGAAAAACCATTTCAATCCTCAACTTCCTACCATTTGGTGGATGCTAAAAAGAAGCCTGCTCAATTAAGCATTGATTGGTGTATAATGCCAATCTGTGGTAATTAAGAAGCCACATTAAGCGCGTAAATTGTCGATTCTTAGATTTAGATTTAAGCAAGATTGTAATGTTTAGTCATAATCATGATTTGCCATCCAAAATAAACGTGTAAAGATATTCCGTTGTTAATCTTGAATAATTTAGGTCATATTTAAGCAACTAATTTTTTACTGTAATCGTGAGATACACGACCCAGAAGACGTTAAGCGAGTGTAGAATCTTGAATCTTGATCTTGAGCTTGAGTAACGTAGGCCATATTATCATGGTCCACCGGCTTTCTTTTGATAAAGTCACTATAATTAGTAACTTTTAATCTTTGTAACTTTCATTTAAAAAGAATTTGTAACAATGTATTAATTCTTGGAATTCTTTTATGTTTTAAGAATATATTTTGCAGGCATCACATACAAATATATTAACATGTATTAAAATTGAAATTCTTCGTGGGGATCTAATGGCATATTATGACAAAGCATTGTAGGTCAAAAATAAATAAGAATAAAAATAAGTGGCATCATAGCAAAGTTGCAAAAATCAAAGTTTTATACATTTTTGTTTTTTCTTTCCATATGAGCCGCAGGATTCACATAGACGCACTCTTATCTGCCACGTAAGAGATTGATATGGGACCCACATTCAGCCTTCATTGGTCTCCCGCTTATAAAAAATTATACATTTCCCGTTGGCCTTTTCATCTTTCCCATTTTTCATTTCTTATTACAAGAAAAACCTTTGGGAAAGTCGCAGTTCCAATATATATTCGACAAAAGGTGAAATTGCTATTCTGAAATTATATGCTTTTCTTGAAATTTCGCAGGCATTGGGATTTGGCCAATTCATATTGTACAAGCACTTCGTCTAAAAACTTAAACTATTAGAAAGAAGATAAACGTATTTATTTAGATTTGGGTCGATTCATGTCGTATAAAATGAGTAGCGGCGAACACAACACCACTTGACTTCTGTAATACTATACTATGTTGAACTATCTTATCTTATCTCTATCGAGGGTGTTTTTTAAGATTAGATTTAGATAAATACATGTGTCCCCTCTCAGACAATTTAACGTTGTAGATGATGTGTTTTAACACAAACCAATTCAAAAGATGCTCTGTACTCTTTTATCTATACTGTTAGCAACTATTGAATTTGAAGGGTAATTTTGCAGGAATTTTGCTTTTAAAGCATTTGAATTTTTATTGAATTCCTTCTGTAAAGCTTCGAGGGAGGAAGATGGACTATGCTTATGGACCAGGAAGGAACCACCTCTTTGTTCCGGGACCTGTCAATATTCCCGAACAGATCATTCGGGCAATGAACAGAAACAATGAGGATTACCGTTCTCCAGCCATTCCTGCACTAACAAAAACTCTTCTCGAGGATGTCAAAAAGATTTTCAAGTCTACCTCTGGAACCCCTTTTATGATTCCAACCACAGGTACTATATTTTTTTGCTGAACCATTAGGTTTTGTTGTAAACGGTCCACGGAGGATTGAATTGAACGGATTAGTATAAAAGAAGTTAAAATCTCGTTCTTTATATTGCCTACTCCTGTCCATTACTGAGTAACTAACATACAAACCGAGTTTATTTACAGTGATTCTCATACTCCCTTGATGTTTATATACACCAGAAGAATGCCTTTTACTTGTTGGTCCTGTTTCGAGAAGTTATAGCTTTATATGGTGATTCATTAATGCCTTTCGAGTCTCGAAAGTTATAGGACATAGTTTCTTTATACATTTATTGTTAATCTTTCCTGTTTGCTAACTAAGATGTTCTTTTTTGTTGGGACAGGGACTGGTGCATGGGAAAGTGCACTTACAAACACATTGTCTCCTGGTGATCGAATTGTATCGTTCCTGATTGGCCAATTCAGTTTGCTCTGGATTGATCAACAGCAGCGCCTTAAATTCAACGTTGATGTAGTTGAAAGTGACTGGGGTCAAGGGGCAAATCTTGATGTTTTGGCCACGAAGATAGCAGAAGATAAAGCACATACCATTAAGGCCGTTTGCATTGTGCACAATGAGACGGCAACTGGAGTGACCAACAATTTGGCCACTGTGAGAAAAATACTCGGTGAGCATACCTTCTAAATGCATAGGAATTATTCTTATTGTGCTAAATGTGGATGAATCTATGAGGTGTTAAATCTATTTTCTGAATGACTTTCAGATCACTATCAGCATCCAGCACTATTTCTGGTTGATGGGGTATCCTCCATCTGTGCACTTGATTTCCGCATGGATGAATGGGGTATTGATGTGGCGCTCACGGGTTCACAGAAAGCTCTTTCTCTTCCAACTGGGATGGGAATCATCTGTGCAAGTCCCAAGGCTCTAGAAGCCACTAAAACTGCAAAATCAGTTAGAGTTTTCTTTGACTGG